ACCAGCAGCGCCACCGCCAGCGCGCGCCCGCCCTCCTCCAGGCGCACGCGCGCCGCCGGCCAGCCCGGCCGCGCCGCGCCCGCGTACCACACCAGCGACAGCGCGCCGCTCTGGGCACAGGCGCAGGCGGCGGTCAGGGAGACGTCTCCGACGCACACCAACACTCTCAAATACATCAACGCACTCAAACACTCATGAATATTCAAACACACAAGCACTCAAACATACACGAACACACAATCATTTGAACACTTACAAACACACACGAACACTTACAAACACCTTAGAACACCTTCAAACACATACGAACACTCTCAAATACACATGAACACTCGCAAACACACGAACTTTCACGAACACTTACTAACATATCAACGCACTGAAATACACAATAACGCTCGCAAACACGAAAATTCACAAACACAAACGAACACGCACAAACACTCAAACATACGAACACTCACGCACATCCAGTCAAACACCCACGAACAGTTGCAAAAATGTACGAACACACATATTAGATTTGAATTTATATTTAAATTGGCCCTAATAGCAGATACATTACCCTAATGAGAAATTAATCAAGAACGTAATCAAAATATTCCGAAAAATCTTGTGGGCCAGTCTTAAAAAAAATATGAAAAGAGGAAAAGAAGTCAGAAAGGAAGAGTAAGGACCGCGTAAAATTAAAAGAACGATAGAGAGAAGGACGAGATTTAAGATGAAGTGGGGGATAGAACAGAGAGAGGGGAAGAAGAAAGAGAAAAATACGAAGTTGAGAACCACAAACCAAAGAAATAAGAAAAGGAAAAATAGAGAAGTATGTGTAAAAAGGAGTGGAGTAAGACGCTGAAAAGAAATAAAAAGATCGAGGAGAAAAATAAGGATAAAGAGCACAAAGCGAAAAGAATGGAGGAAGAGAAGACAATTTATAAATAAGAAACACGAGGATGAGAAGCAAGATGAGGATACGTAGAAGGGTGAGCAGAAGAAAGAGGAGAACAATGAGTTTAAAAAAACAAAAGATACAAGATGAAGAGAAAGTGAAAAAAGAGAGGAGTGAGAGAAAAAAACAACAACATAAAATGAAGAAAAATTAGGAAAAGAAGCATAAGGAGCAGAAAAAGACGAAGATGGAGGAACAGGATGAGTAGATAGATAAACAAGACAACATGTGGATGACAAACAAGATGAGAAGTAAAAGGATGAGCAGAAGGAGAAAGATAAACATGAGAACAAAAAAGAGGAGGAGAAAAAGAAGAAGTAAGAGAGACGAACAGAAGGACACGCGGAGAAGAACCTGCTGCTCACCTGCTGGAACCAGTCCATCCTGGGCGCGCCCACCTCGGCGACGGCCTGCGTCGCGGCGGCGGGCACCGCCTCTTTCTGCTTCCTCTCCTCCTCCTCCTCCTTGTCCGCCGCCGCCGCCGCCGCCGCTTTGTCTGGCGCGGGGGGCGCGAGCGGGGGCAGCATTCGCCCCAGCGACGCCCGGCTGTTGGCCAGCGCGGCGCGCAGCTCGTCGCTGGCGCCCTGGCTGTCCCGGCGCAGCCGCCCCACCACGCACTTCTGCAGGATGGACTCGTAGTTGACCCAGGCGTGCACCTGGTTGAAAAGGTCGGTGGCGTCGCGCCCCGCCCCGCGCAGCAGCTCCTCCGCGCCGCCCGGGTGGAAGTCCATGTAGTGCGTCACGTTGTACACGCGGCCTGCCCCCAACAACACACACGTCATGCGCCACGAACGTTCAGGGCGAGCCAATCAACACTCACATATATGCAGTGTTGGTCAGAATAAATATTACAACAGTCTACAGTGTTATAGGAAACTAATTGTGCATTGGTTGATTGAGGTTTCCAAGCGCGTCAACTACTAAGGTCATAAGTCCGGTAAGTATAGTCAATTTGTAATGCGGGAGGTGGCCCTCACTGGACGGTGAGATTCGCCGCCGACGTACCGCCAGATAGTGGCGTTGTCCCCATCAAGGTGTCTCACCAGCAGGGCAGCGCACCAGCCAGGGCAAGCTCTAAGCTCCCGACCGGTCTCCCGGCATATGTGGTAGTGTGGAGCATGTAATTGTATGTGTGAGTAAGTAAGGGAGAGCATAGGAAAAGGAAGAGGAAGGAAAGATTGCGCGCTTTCCGTGGCCGTTTGTTAGGGTACTGCTCCAGCATTCGCATGGCGGTAATCGAAGAAAGCAAGGAAAACTACCGAACAGAGCAGCCGGCCTCTAGAATTCTCCTCTAGACAGTAACGGATTTCGACCTAGCTATCAAGCTAGTATCGTGCTAATATTGCCACCGTCGGGATTAGAACGCTACAACCTCCCAGTTGCAGGCACTGCAGTCACACCCACTGTCCTAGCCACTTAAGCTGTGCACCGGTGTTCGGCATGTACACGATGAGGAGGAAAATGTGATAGAAGACAAGGGAGAATGAGACAAAAAGAACAAGAACAAAAAGAAATGTAATGGAAAAGAAAAAGATTAGAAGAATGAAAACCACTTTTCGCCAACAAACACGTGGTGGTAAATCTTATATAACGAAGTTATACACTTGCAACTTTGTCACATCTCTTCTAATTAGTAACGCATCATGAACGGATAAGAATACGAATTTTCATGAGAATTTTAAAATATTTGTGTCCATTTTTCAGAGCTGACTTCAAAAGTCTCAATTTTCTAATTAAGAGTTTTGTTGCATGCGCGGCAAAGACGATCTGACGCAGTCCAGAATTGACTCTAGTCATAGCCCTGGCGCAGGGTGTTCCCTGGGGGTGCGTGCAACCAGCCAGCTTGAGATGTATCAAAAATGTCGTTTTTTCATCAAAAGCATTTCCTACACTGATCGTAATCAATAGGAAAACGAGTGGATCACGGTCAATCTGAACCAGACCTCTGAACTGGTCTTCGGAGATAGCGATCCTCCACGGAAATCCTCTCGGATTGTTTGGCTGAGTCCAAGGTATCGAGCTCTTGCAATATCACCTGACGCTTCTTGCTTTCCTACTTGAGGGGCATTGCCTTTAGTTGGCAACTTTGTTAACGTTTTACAAATTACTGCTTCGGTAAAATCATTCACGTGACTTCTGTAAATTGCATTAGCGTAGTTGATAAAGTGCTTCAATACCAACACGCGAACGCACGAGATTTGTGGCCGAATTATGACTCAAACATCAATCGCCCAAAATAGTATTTCGAGATCCCTACACGAGGAGCGGTAGCGAAGGAGCCCCAACCCACGCATCTCGATAAGTGAGCGCACAAACATGAAACTTACAGACGATGAACAGACAGTTTATTAATATAAGACGTTTTTCTTTATTATTTAATAGGGAATTAATACACATGTAAATTAAATAACTTGGTGCAATGTGGCTAGGTCGAAGGCATTTAAGCCACACCTACTCACAATACCTCCATCCTTCCACTTCTAACCTTTCGAATTCTGGTATTCACCCCAAATGGTCTCCCCATCGCATCAAAGCCGCGGAAAAGATACCATAAGGTACGGCTGAGGAGAAAAAGACTAAGGAGGGAAAAACTTGCCATCGGAAGACGTACAGGCTAACGCTTTTTGCTTCTTTGCACCTCAACACTACGGACACGAGATGTGATGTATTTGCGTATGAAATAGGGGTTTTCATTCCTACATCTGTCGGATTCCTCTATGATATCCCCTTTAAAGACGCCAAAAAGGGTATTAGGTATTTAGGGTTTTTCCAGTCTGACATTTCTGCCTGATTGGCGTCGTGGCCTGCGCCGGGTGCGAGGTGCACTCGCAGTCGTTTGTTTGCCGGCGGTTCCGAGAAGGCATCGAACGGGCCGTGCCTCGCCGCACCCACCGGCTGCATTCCCGGAGGAAGCAAATGGCGATGGCTTCCGCGAAGCACGCGTTCGCTTTCGCCGCCAGCGCGCGGACAATGACCAGCGGCTCAGTTCTCTCGACGCCGCAACAAACAACGAACGGGAGCGAACATTCCAAACGCCACATGCGCACGTCGCAAAAGTTGAGATATAGTACAGATATTGGTCTAGAATTTTATTTTCAGAAAAGTGCCCGAGGTTTTACACTAAATTGAATTACCTTCTTTAATTTATTCAAACAAGGAAAGTATTCTAAAATTTAAAATTCCTGTTACATATTTTCATTTTTCTTTAACAGAGAAAAGTGGACAGTTTATATTTTGAATGTTTGCTCATAATAATAATAATAATAATAATAATAATAATAATAATAATGATGAACACTTCAGTGAAGAAAAAATATAAAGAAATAAAAATAAGCAACAAATCACTAAGAAATTGCTCCCCCTTCTCGAGAACAATGTAAAACCCCACTTCACGAGGTATCACACTTCCTTCATACAGAGTACAGAAAGGTATCTTTTACCTAAAGAGAGAAACGCAATTCAATCCTGAAATGTCCTGAAGGAAAACGTGAAAACATTCTGTACGGAAACTAATGTATTATTTAAACATAAAATTGAAACCTACGACAACAGTAAAGTATAAGTAGAATTAAATCCTGTAATTGGAAGTTTAGATATGAATCGGTGATATTGAAATACTGTTATCATAATTTACTGTAATATGTTTTGGAATTAAAAGTTTATATATATANNNTATATATATATATATATATATATTTGTTACCTGGGGAAGGTAGCTGCTTGCCCTCAAATTATCACACGACAAACACACCCAAACACGTTTCGTGATGATAAAATTATTTACCCAAAATTCGTTGCTCCCGAAACGACGCTTAATTTGTAACGTTTGAGAGTTGATTCCGGGAGCATCATGTACTGACGCCATCAGTATCGAATGTGTATCCCGCGAAGTGACGAAGCCTCTTCACAGGTGAAGTGACGATGCTCCTCCCTAGGTAGAACATGTGCTCCGACGCTGACCTAAAAGTCGGCTTCCAGAATTACCCTACAGATATCTCCTCCGGCGGGCCTCCGCCCCAGTCGGGAAAAGCTTTAAGATGCCAACTTGCCTACCGACTAGTGTAGTGAATATAAGTTTAAATGTGTGTAAAAGGGAGAAAGAAGGGAGCAAGGATGTGAAAGTAAAGATCGCGAACGATCCACGGCCCATTTGTTAGAGTACTTCTCCGGCATTCGCCTGGTGCTGAGTACAGAAAGCACGGAAAGCAACAGATCAGAGCAGCCGAAGTTCCAGAGTTCTCTTCCAGATAGCAGCTAAATTCGACCTAGCTATTTACTGTCGAAAATTATCCACCGTCGGCGCTCGAAGCCCAGGCCTTCCCAGCGAACGACGCTAACCTACGTCCCCCCTTCCGCGCCAACGCAGCTTTTCCCGCCCGCCTGCCAGCAGGCCCACTGCGCGAGGACTCCGCGCCTGCCAGCAGGTGGGCGGCGGGCAGCCGACTATCGACAAGCGCGTTAACGACAGACAGACGGCCTTGGCCCTTGCCCCCACCCCGCCCAACCCCGCGTCCTACCTGCGCTGCTCACGGCGCCGGGGAAAACATCCCCGATTCTCCGGCGGAGGAAAACTTCTTCCGGAAGAAAAATCCCCCGCCTCAGCGAGGGTTCGGAGCGGTGAAAAGTTGGCGCTGGGACGCCGGGGAAGGCCGGAATTGTTCCGGGAGTTCGTAACCCCTCCCGGAAGAAAACCTACGTGCGGTGTTTGAGGAGGAAATTGCGTTACCGAGCCTTTACTGTCTTTCTTCCATCGCTGACGGGTCCTACACCGACTGAGATGGCTCAGTGTGCACCGACGCTGCGGCGACTCTGATCGGCAGGTCCTAGGGATCGAGTTCTGACGGTGGCAAATTTTCGACACCGCCTACACTGAATAGAAAGGTCCAATTCAGGCGCAGTCTGGAGGAGAATTCTGGCGGCTGGCTGCTCAGAAATCCAAACCTCTGATATACGAATTCCGACAAAAAATCAAATAAATGCCGGAGCAGTACCCTTTCAAACCCTCATTGAAACCCTTTCAAATCATTCCTACCTCTTCCTTGTCCTATCCTCACCCCTTACACATACACGCGCGCACACACACACACACACACACACACTTACAGGCACTACTCTACCATATATTTCAGAAACCCATACGGGAGCCAGGTGCTCCACTGGAGGGAGATACCTCGAGGGGGCAATGCCCCGCAAGCCGGCGAGTAGGTCAACGCCGGATGTTACCAAACACTAGGGTAGGAACACTTACACCTCCAGTAATAAAACACGCACTACACTTACGAGACTAATTACCATCTCAGTTGACGCGCACGGAAACATCTTTCTGATATCTTGAAGGCTCAAGACGCATTACATTTTGGCAATGGAAAGTTGGCTGGCTTGAATGGTTACGAGCGCTCACAGTCACGTACAATAGGAGAAAAACGCCCATATGCGATGTTTCAGTCTGAAATTCACCATTTCTCTTCACAGTTTTTCCTTTGCCAGTATCAGTCCCATGGATGTTTCGAGATCTTAATTTTAAATGCGGCTTCTATTAAACATTTTAATGCTTAAAGAACGTTCCACACACCTCAAGATAATTAAGGAATATAAATGAATTGAACAATATGTATGAACAGAACTAGATTTTGTATTCTAGAAAAAAATATGGAGGGTCTTAGAGGTACTACAGGTGAAAAGTTGGACAGAATAGAAACGAACAAAAGTTTTTTTAGAGCTTGTAACTCTGAAACGAAAACCTTCCCTTTGTAGTAC